GATCCTCAAACAAAGGATCACAGGCGAAGTTAAACGATGGGACAAACGGAAGCTGCAGATTTGAGATGATAAGGGCCTCAGTTTTGATGGGGTTGAACGACATCATCCACTCTTTGGACCAGACTTCATGTTTCCTCAGATCATATCTTGCTTCCAATTCTATTTGGTTCAGGTCACGAGAGCAGTAAGAAAGGAATGTATCGTCAGCGAAAAGTCTGGACAAAGAGAAGAGTTCGCATAAAAATATCAGCGTTGGTGGACTTGAATGGTGAAAGTGCATCTTTAATAAAAACTGCTTGCTTTCTAGCAGAAAGATAGCTACTGATCCAAAGAAGAAGTTGACCTGAAATACAATAATTCTCCAATTTGTGTAGAAGACCTTTATACCACATACGATCAAATGCCTCCGAAAAATCACAGAATATCACCATAGTGTGCTCATATTTTTCAAGAGAAGAAATAATTGAGTGACAGAGTTCAATGAGCTGATCAGTAGTAGAATGGTTAGGTAAGATTCCTGACTGATATTTATAAATAAGATCAATTTCAATTAAATAATTATACATGTGTTTATAAACCACACGCTCAAATAGCTTCCCCCAAACAGCTTACTTAGCATTGAAAAAGGTCTGTAGTAAACAAGTTCTATTGAACTAATATCAGGATTGAACGGCACTTTTTTTTCAATTTCATGCTGTTATGAACACAAATCCATTACAAACATATTCCATGTAGCGGGCATCGTGGCACATACCGGAACTTGGTTGTCATATTTTTGACATGCATTGGCTTAACTACATATTGAATGGTGCGCGCTACACACCAATGCATGTCAAAAATATGAAAACCAATATTTATATTTACATTTTATGCTGTTGTGACGTCGCTATGCTTATGACGTCATAACTGTAACTTGGGAGATTGCACTGCTCCACTGTTAACTGCAATCTAATTAAAATTATATCTTCACATCGCTCCCGTTTACTGATATGACATATCAGTAAACGGGAGCGATGTGAAGATATAATTTTTAATTAGATTGTGTTAACTGGTGGCTGTTCTCTGTATGGATTTACCCTGACGTTGAAATGTGTTCAGACTTATATTATGTGTTTATTTCTGCGTGAACTTTTAAGTTGATTAACGTAAACTGTAAATATAATTATTGGTTGTCATATTTTTGACATGCATTGGTGTGTAACATACATTGGTCTACATACATATTTAACATGGTGCGCTAGCGCGCACGATTCAATATGTAAGTAAGCCATATGTATGTTACACACCAATGAATGTCAAAAATATCACAACCAATCCTTAAATAAACACTGAAAAACTGCCATTCAATCCTGATACTGTATTTAGATTGTAAAATTTTAGATATCAATTACCTTCATACAGATATTCCCTTATATAATCTTTATTGAAGTTTCTACTTCGTCAGTGCAAAAGAGATTCCTGGAACACCCTAACCTCACCAAAACGTTTGATTCTAGCGGTTGTGTCATGTTATTCGTTATTCGAGGGGGGGGGGGGGGGGGGATCAATATGACGCTGATCAAATTGTGTTCAAAACTCTATGAACGCAATCTCTTTTTGTACTGCTGGTTGCACTTGCAGTGGGAGAGTCCTACCTCTTCCTTGACATTTTTCTGTCTAACTCCCAATATGGGGTAAGACTAAAACAAATTCGTTTTATCTATACAAGATTATTCTGTAACATTCCTAGGGTATGGCAGATTGCATGTAGAAAGACAGCATATTGTGACGTCACGGAAACAATCGGATATGACGTCATAATCAGCTCTTGACAGGAGAAGTCATGTGCAAATCGGGAAAACAAAGAGATTACAAACGCTGAAAACTGTTGTTTTAATGATAGTATTGGAATGATGGGAGAAAAAATAATCACTCCTACTTTGTGGGTGTCAATTTCCGACCCGAGGGATGATTTATTTGGTCGTCTAACCCAAGGCTATGCCCAGAATCTTGCATATGATACAATTTACAATTTATGTTTTATGTAGAGGTACATAAATCTATCTTATCACTGTTCTGAGAGATTTACTGGTATATTGTTAACCATATAATGTATATACAGTTTATGGTACATATTTATGTTTATATATGCATATACATGATTACAGAAATGTGCATGTTAGCGGGGTGTTAGTTCGAAAAATAATACATCCCTTCATACTAATTCCATCGGCAATTTCCGTAACGTCTTTACGGAAATGAACGAAACAATCAGCTGAATGATGGGCGGAGCTTGTACAGACCTGTCCCGACCCAGTTGTATTGATCTTAAGGAAACAGGGAAAATATATATGGCTATCAGACGGTATTCTTTGTTGAATGACCTTGCATTTTGTATCAGTAAAGTGAATTAAAGAATATGATTTCGGGAACTAACGAGTTTCAAGTTACCTCGATCAAACCTATTTCCCCAGGTTTCGAGGAACTCGAAACTGTCTATATCCCCCAAACCAATACTTTCACTGTATATCATAGGAGAATTGTCTGATATTTGTATATATTCATTAGGTGTTAATCCACTTTATCAGACAATATTGTGTTGAATAGACTCAATTTCAGTCTGAAACAAATGAACAAGATTAAATTTTGTCTGAGCCGCTGGGAAATGTCGTGAATTGTTGTTTAAAAGGCAGACAAAAACATAAATATTTCTTAAGTGGCCTCGTCGTTTGTATAAATGTTACAAATTCCCATCATGTAAGCAATCATTGAAAGGGTTCCATTTAGACACAGCATGAAAAGGTTGTAACAAGTACATTCCCCGGCGCTCTTCTAATTTTCGCACGAAATTGAATGACGAATCTGTATACCATTCAGAAATCGATGAAACAATTTCATTCTTGCTGAGCGAGAGACAGTTACTGTGAAATATGGTCTAGTTTATCCTGTGCGCACAATCTTTGTTTTCACACTTACCGCACGGGGCAGCTCCGGCCATAGGGTGAGCTAAGGGACAACCTTATAATGGTGAAGATGCTTTTACCACGCGCATTTCTCGGTACAGCAAGTTATTTCAAATTGATTTCTCGCCATGATAGATTTCTGCAAATAACTATTTGTCCCGTTAAAAATGTATTTGTTTTTCGTCTGTCAAACGATAGATCACTAACAAAGTGGAGAACATAAAATCAATCCTCTCTACAAGCTAGAAGCTTTCTATTAGGGCCCAAATACTGTGAAAGAAGTATGTACAGGGTCAAATAACGTTACACAAAATACGGCTTGTCAACGTAGATCTTTTTAACCCGGATGCGTGCTGTAACAGGAAGCCCGTAAGGATAGCATAACTCAAGTGCTTCTCCTGTTTTCTGGACCAGACAAGTTGAAATGCTTCCATTAATTTGAGACCACGAATACAATCTCCTATTTTGTCATTGACAGAAAGGAAAGAAATGGCAACACTTACTTGGACCCAGTGACAGGGTAATTTTTACGACACAAATTAGTCTGGCAGAATTCAGAGTAAATCCAAATGTCTCAATTCAACTAGGGTGCAGCGTTGTCTAGGCCATTTTCGATTTCGACTCAAACCCAAAAAATACAAGAGGCCTGCATCGCTCACCTGGTATAAATCTCACACTTGTAATCTTAAATGTAGACTAAAATACAGCTACAGGCAGAATATCAGTGTTTGATTAATAAGAACCTATTAAAAGATTTAAACATATGACGCCTGTGACCTTGAATGTCGAACAGGAAAAATTAGGTTGAAAGTGAGTCAAGGTCATTCATTTGAACAAACTTGGTAGTCTTTCATTCTAGCATGCTACAGACCCAATTTTAATACCCTGGGCCATTTGGTTTTTGAGAAGAAGTGGTTTGAAGATTTTACGATATTTGACCCCATGTGACATTGAAAGTGGGTCCAGGTCATTAATTAGAAACAAGCTTAGTAGCCCTTCATCCCTGCATGCTACAGGCCCAATATCAGTACCCTGGGCCTTTGGCTATGAGAAGAAGTTGTTTGAAGATTTTAAAGCATTTGCCACCTGTCACCTTGAAAACAAACTTGGTAGCCCTTCATCCCAGCATGCTACAGGCCCAATTTCAGTACCCCGGGCCTTTTGGTTATTCAGAAGAAGTCGTTTGAAGATTTTACGGCAATTTGACCCCTGTGACCTTGAAAGTTGGTCAAGGGTCAGGTGAGCTAGAAATAGGCCGAATTTGCCCCGATCTTACCTATTGTTATGTCGGTCTTAATCTCATTAGAGTTTATGTTTTGTTGTTATCCCTCGACTAGCCGACTGTAAATTCATTTTATCTTGCCTGATTCTGAAAGCAGTATTCTCTCATTTTAAATCAGTAAATATCAGAGATCAACAAAAGCTTCGCTCTTTTAAGGCTTTGCCTTTTCATATTAGTTATAGCGAGATACTCTTATATTATATAATGAGTTATGTGTGCCATCACCTTCTGTCCCATTTCACTTTTGAAAAAGAATTTCCTTGATCAGTTACCTTGATGTATGAAACCTGTGCAGAGTGCACTGTAATGGAAAATGACAAGTTGGCCTGATTTCAGAATTTCTCTTTAAAATAGTTTATAATGATACTTCGCTATTTTGTTTCATATGTTGTGAAAAAACTTGCCAACATTTGATATAACTGTATTCGAAAGAAGTATGCGTACATGTTGCTACAAATGTATCAATGTTAAGTTGTAAAACGGAAATCAGTTGTATGCCTATTCAAAATGAACTTTAACGTAGGTGTCTTACATAATATATACAAGGATATATACGAAAACTCTCTGGCTAAACGATTATATAGATCACACCTGTCTTAAACTTGAACTTCTTGATCTACCACGCCTACCTCCACCGCGTAGGTGCGTCATGACTCCTGCTGTCGCTTCGTTCCTCCGATGCACCTGTTTGTTTTGACAGACTCGTGGGAGGACAGTGAACTAAAAAAACACCTACACGCACTACTACAGATTATAGAAGAGCTAAAACACGTCTATCAGTTTGGTTCATCTGAATTGAAAGTTGAGAACACTTTCACCATTTTTATTAATATAATCAATTTGTAACTGTTTAAATTATGATTATTACGAAATAATCTTGATAACTAATATTGCATTTTATGTCATTATCGTGATTAAGAAAATACGACATTATTATTCTTATTATTTTTTAATAGGAAAAGTAATAAATAACAGTCCAATGTGTTAACAGCTGTGTGTATATGGAATAAGACCTACAATAAAACATTTCATGCTAACAACGTGTTTATATGTATTCATTAGGTAAAGGGTTAATTCAATATCACAGCATATTTTGTGGAAGGTTTTTGATAGATTTATAAGTAGCACAACCAAGGAGAAAACATTAAATTAACTACATGTAACCGCTAGTGATTTTCCTGCAGTACAATCTAAACTCGAGATAATTTCTATATTGTCAATATAATCAATTCATCAGATGCAGCAATATCGATTTTGTTATAATACATGACAAGGGAGGTAATCCAAATATAAACTCCTCCACTGGAATGTTGAAGGGAGTTAACTCTACGTAACGATGACATTTTCCCGACATGCAAATTCAATATCCAAACAACGGGAACACACACTCAGCTACAAGAGACAACAGAAAACAAACTTTCATCATACCTAAGTTGAAGTTCACCATGACAGTAATTTGGCAAATATCTTGAATGATCACTTGCAGAGGTGAGTTCCTATAATGGACGGTTATCAAATCGGTCTTGATTTACAAATATGTGTGTCGAAATATTTCGACGCCATGCACGTCTGCCAAAATTAAATCCGGCGTGCAAATATGCTTATTTTTAACAACTGAAAACCAAAACAGCTCATAACGTAACTAATTATTGTTCAAATTACACACAGAAAATCCTCAGACACTTTCAATTAAATAGTTTCGGACTTTTTCATAAACGTTCGGACAACTTTGTTATAATAAAGTTTCGAATACTTAAAAACCTCATGAAGAATTGTGAACACTATATTTGAACACAAAACCGGTATCCTATCATATAACGTGTAGTAATTTCTCGAAATGTCATCATTTTTTCTTCTTATCGGCTGCGACTGGCTTGGATTTCGTGACGTCGATGTGGAGAACACGGTCAAAGAGGAGGGCAATGATACATCCGACGAACGGCCCAACCCAGTAGACGATCAGATGGTCCTGATTAGTAGCCCCTTTGCAGCCTAGGAGGTGACCAGTGGCCATGGCAGGGTTGAAGTACATACCAGTTGTAGAGATACCTTGAATGGAAAGAATGAAAACAAATAACTCAAGACGACATCACATTTATAATGAACATGGTAAATCTGGTATATAAAAGTCGTTTGAAGGGGAAAATGACGACAGAATGACGGACGAACGGACACCCCGCTATTAAATTAAATACCTGATTCTTTCTTGACGAGCAAAAATACACAAGAATTGTTCTGGTTAAGTCTTTTATAACATTTAAGATTTCTTGTAATAGATTTATTATGGCCGAACTCCACAACTATGTTCGAATTTCTGTAATTTCACTAAAGATTTTTATTATTATTATTTTGTCTCAAGCCCCCGTTCCATATTGAATTATGTTACACTACTTTAGGACGTCTTTATTAAACCGACAGGAGGTCAACATCATCTGCGATAAGTAATAATAGACAGATACATGTGTATCTATGCAAGATAAAACAAGATCACTGTCCATTTGCTATTACGTTAGGTTCGCAAATATTTTAAGAAAACGTTCTAGATGATAATTAGATGTTCTCCGTGTGCATTAAGCAATCTGAATAGACCATCTTTATCAATTCCATCCTCGATACTTCACGTTCGCTCTCTGCAAACCTGGAATACGTCCTAGCAAAAGCGAAAGCACGCAACAGGCTATTTGATTTGTCTCAAGTTAAATAACCTAACCAATCGCTGAGGCCAATACCTGTCCTCTGAAGTACAGTTACACGACCGACATATTATTTTGATGTACATCAAAGGATCTATATGGTGCACGCGAAACCCTCGGACATATTCCAGGGATGCAGAGAGCGAACGTGAGCGTAACCCCTAGAGTATTGAAGATGTATCAATTCATACTGCTTTTGTTCTCATTTCCCACCCATCTCATTGAAAGCTTCTATGTTTTCATTTTCTCTTTAGATAAACGAGGTAGTTCTAGTATTTCCAACTTTCTAACTCACCTATAACGATCATCAAGGCGCCATTGCCTACTTTGATCAATTCGTCGATGAACGAATTTTTCATCACAGTCTGCATTCCAAGCCAGGTGTCGGTGAGTGTTGCGGCTAGTTCTATCCCCATGCCGAACAGCAAGGTCACATTGAGGTCAGTCACACAGCTCGTTTCGTAGTATCTCTGGCGGTGGTCAGGAACCATGTCTAGGGACCAGACAAAACGGGCGAATCTGTAGGACGCCAATCCCGCCAACGTTTGAACAGCTATTTTTAGAACAGCCTTGACCGGGCCGATTTCTTTCATACATAATGAGTACAACGCTTTAACAGGGTTTTCAGACGCACCGAAATAGGTCCTGTTGGCGATGACACATTCGATGACAATTGCAACGAAAAGCCAAACAGGGCCATAACGACTGAAAATGAAATTATTTTCATAAAAGTAAGCGCACATTTCCATAGTTGCTAGGAAATCGCAAACGTATTCGCTGATAACCGGATGAAGAATAACTTTGCTTAGTATTCTAAGGATGAAACCCGAGAGGATCGTAATAGTTAGGTACAGCAGTGATCCACCCATTGGAGATAAGAACTCCTCCACGGGAACGGTTCCGAAAGCCATCTGCCATAATGGCCGCCAGGTCATATTTGCCATCACCACGTTAGCTTCCATTCTGAAAATACAACACGATTTATTTTAGTTTTGATCTGGTGTTAAGTTGTACGGAGTGTACCAGTTCTACGTCACTGATGGAACGAATAAACGACAAGTGTGCCCCCTGTTTTGCCCCCCTCCAACGCCTGCATTAATTGAGTCCTGTATGATTCATGATTGAGTGACCTGTATGACCTTGGATTGAGTGACCTGTATGACCTTGGATTGAGTGACATGTATGACCTTGGATTGAGTGACCTGTATGCCACTTGAATGAGGGAGCTTTATGGTCATTTATCGAGTAAATGAGTTGTATGGCGATACATCGAGTGAGTTAGCTGTATGACCATAGATCGAGTAAGCGAGCAGTATCGCATTGGATTGAGTGACCTGTATCACTCTGGATTGAGGGACGTGCATGGTAATGGATTAATTGATGACCCTGGATTGAGTGGCCTGTATGACCTTCGATTGAGTGTTGACTCTTGATTGAGTGACCTGTATGACCTTGTAATTAGTACCTGTAAGACCTTCATTTGAGTGTATTGTATGACCCCGGATGGAGTGACCTGTTTAACTCTGGATTGAGTGGCATGCATACCTTTGGATTAAGTGACCTGTAGTTACCTGTATGTTCTTCGATTGAGTGTATTGTATGACCCCGGATGGAGTGACCTGTTTGACTCTTGATTTAGTGAAATACAAGACCCTGAATTGAGTGAAATGTATGACCCTGGATTGAGGGACCTGTATGACTCTTGATTATTTGACATGCATAAAAAATCCGATTGAGTGACCTGTATGACCCTATCTTGAGCGACCTGTATAACCCTGGGCAGAGTTACATGTATGATGCTAAAGTGAGTGAACTGTATGATCCTAGATAAAGTGACCTGCAGGACACATGATTGAGTGACATGTATGACCCTGGATTGAGTTACCTGTATGATGCATGATTGAGGAAATTGTATGGCCCTTGATTAAATGAACTGTATAAACCTGGTTTGAGTGACCTGTATAATGCATGATTGAGAGAATGATATACATGTAACCCTTTATTAAATTACCTATATGACTCTGGATTGAGTAACTTAGGTGACCATTGATTGAGTTACCTGTATGACCTTGGACTGAGTGACTTGTATGATGCATGCTTGAGGGAATTGTATGACCCTTGATTAAATGATCTGTATGAGCCTGGATCGAATGGCCTGTATGACATTTGACTGAGTGACCTTTATGGTCCAGAATTGAGTAAATAATATGTATGCCTCACTAGGTTCAGATCCATGTGTGTCTTAACTAATTGCTTTTTTCACTCAATACATTTTTTTCTTATTCCCATCTACAGTTTTTGAAGGAAAAAAATATATCATAAATGCATGATCTTACTCTATCACTCGCCATCCAAACTGATTAGCAGGCTTAGAAAGAGTGGATGTCGTGAAAAAAAAAAGCTTAAAATCCCACTTACACAGTGTACTTTCACGGTTCGCTAAATAAACACTCTACAATCGACCCCTCTGTTTGAGACGTTAGAAATTTCTCAGATGAGGCAATGTTTAACCAATATGATTGGCTTCATCCAGAGTTGTCGTTCCTTACACACACTCTTTTGCTTAATCTAGGATCTTGGCAAAACTTGCACGTAACTTTTGACACATTTCAGACATTAACTGCAATTAGTCAATAAGTATACCGTTCTTATATTAAATCTTAGTTTAAATTTGAAAATGAATTAATCAAAGAACCGTCGAAACGCACTTAAGTCTAGAAACATTGAGTATATAAAATATCTGCAAAAATACTTTTATTAGTTTATATATATAGTGTATTCAAGTATTTCTATCAAACACAAAATAATGCACAGAATAAATATTCTTTACACAAGCGTCCTTGTTAAAATCCCTTGAAAACGTCTTGGCCCCGACATCAATAAACCAATTCTATGATGATGGTCACGGTGAAGCAAATAATGTATATGGCATTAAGAACGTCTAACGTATTACTAGTATTTTCCGTACATTGTGTGATATTTTCACAGATCCAGATGAAACAAAACATCCCCGTCTCTGCTCAATGTCCAAATTTGTATATACATGTATAATAAACCACAAAAACAGCTGTATATATATGACTTTACAATGTCTTATAACACCCCTAACGTCGGAGAGTGTCTCTGCTGAGCACACACACACGCCATAGCTAATTATTGTCAGGTTCCTCTGTTTACAGTATAACGACACAGCGGGTTTTACCTTGTATTATATGTGCGTAATACTATACGAGTACGTGATGTGCTCAATCGTTCAATGTCACCCGTGTGTGTTCTTCCCTGCTTAAACACCCTACACCACGCTATACAAACTATCAAATGAACTTATTCAAGCGAAACCGGCGTGTAAAGTATTGCAATGGTGATTAATATCACCTAACACAGCTGAATTCATTTCATCTTACATATGTATACACACGTACCGACACCAGACCAACCCTACATCTGTTAGCAAACGTTACAACCTGAACGAATACACATGTGTTACGAACCTGTCGGTTGTGTGTCTGATCTCTTAACAATGCTGGTTTCCGTCGAACTTCCGCGAAAACGAGCTTTTCGCTTTAGCCCTCCTTGTGAAAATATGACCCCGAAAGAGAACCCCGGCAGTAGTCCAGTTTGTAAGGAGTTCTCGACTTTCTGTGGGGCCCGATCGCGATCCTAAACAGGAGACAGCTGGATGCTGCGGTCGCAGGAAGGGTCCGGACACAGATAATCCTGACAGTGCGATGCTAAAAATAGATTAGCTAGCAGCAAATGTCAAATTAGGTTAGCGGGGCCAGAAAGGGGTAACGAAGTGGGTTTATTGTTAGCGAAAGGTGTGAAACGTGATGTTCAGGGACGTAACCAGGCGTACGCACGGACGCACGGGCTTCCACGTAAATTTTTCAAGTATACTTTTTTCAGATAACGGGCGCATGATCGTCTACGTATATCAGGTTGAATTAATTATTACGCATTTGATAAAAAATACTAAAAGCCAAATATGAAATTGATAGGTATTGTATGTCTCAAACTGCACCAGAGTGGGTTCCAGATTCAAAAAAAAATCTCTCGGGGGGAGGGGGGGGGGGGGCTAAACCCCCCTGGAACCCCCCCAACTCAGGAGGGGGTAACCCCCTCCCCAACCCACCCCTACTCGGCGCTTCGAGCTTCGTATGCTTCCATATACTCATAGTCCTGGTTACGTCCCTGAATTGTTTACCCCTAAACACAGGAATAGTATATGCGTGCTCAAAAAAAAAGTATTTCTGAAGGTTTTCCAAGATTTTCCTTTTTCATTAAGACGATTATCGGCTGGTATCTCTGGATCAAAGGTTTCCAGTGACTTCGGAAACCCATAGCTCTTTCTTATCTCGTTCATACGACTTTTCAAATATTACGTCAGACTGAATTTTGTTTTCATTCCTTAAAAATGGCACAAATAAACTTTCGTATATATGGGTGTTGCCCATGCGGCAAACACCACTGACTCCGCGCGCTATCCTAAATAATAGGGCTAATCCCCGCAAGTATCAATGTAGTTATTATATAACTAGTTATTATATAACTACATATGTGTAAGTAAGCCCAGTGGTCAATGGTCATCTAGCCTTTGTGTTTACCTGACTCTACCTTATCTTATCGGTCAGAAGTCACCGAGTAGTGACCACCTATACGGGTCACAATGCAAGAGAATGGGCTATAACATTTGTTGGATTGAGGTTAATATATCTATTTTAGGATATGATGTTATTATATCAAATGTAGAGTTTATACTTTCAAGGCAGATCTACCTGTATTTTTCACCTTTCGTTTAAAGTACTAACGCCGCAGGAGTAACCATAATATGAGTACAATGTATGTTCTCAGCAATGGTAGAGTTCATTATTTAAAGCATGACATGTTGCCTTTTATCTCTGCCGTTGAGGTACGTGTACCAGCATATGAAGATTTAAACTCAAAATGTAGTATTTCATACAAGTTATCTGATAAAAAATAATAGATATGGTATATTCCCCATGTCTGCACAAAATGCAAATGAATGAGCTATTTTGCATTTCCCAAAACATGGTTAACGGCTCCACTTTATGCTACCTTGATGCTATTGTTTGGGACTATTTTACAGCATCAAGCTTGTCATTCCGCAATCATATATCCTCTCAATTATGCCTTTTCAGAAAAGTGTACATACTCAAATACCGTATTACGGTTTATTTACGCGGGCTTAAATTTTCCTAATTTTGACCCAACATAAGAAAATTAGATTCACACGGATGTTTTAGATTAGAAGCAGGACACTAGACATATACATGTTACGTGACAAATATTCAAATGAATAGGCTTTATTTGCAGAATATTGAGCAACAAGTGTATTTTGTTAAACAATTTATTTACAAAACTGTTACATGTGTAATATAACATATTTTAAGCATGTTGTACAAGATATAACTCTCGATGTGTATGAATTGCCACAACCACATACTTGCTATATTAGGTTACAGTGATATCCTATCCCTTCACTTAGCACAACAGGGAAAATAGCAACAAAATGCTTAAAATCCTATTTCGATGAAAATACCATAGCATACATATAAAATATCCATGTCAGTTTTCAAGGCGGAACAAGTAAGTGCTAAGTATTACCCATTTTCACAAAGTTTTAACTTTCAAATTCTCGAGCAATATCCAAAAAACTTCTACGTGAATTGTCTAGGTACCGATTAATAGTAGTGGGAGGCATTTCATTGTAAAGTTCGGGGGAAAGAACAACACATATCATGGTATACAGTGACGTGATATTATTAGTTATACAGATCTTTGGCAGGGTACATAAGGCTCAGGGTACCTAAGGTCCTGACAGCGAAGATGAGACCATATACCCTACCAAAGACCTGTATAACGAATTTGTCATACTGCAAAGCCATTTATAGGTTGGGACTCGTGTTTGCCAGAAAACAGATACTGTGTAGGGCGGTAGTACGGGAAAACAGAAAGGAAAATTATTTTTTTGTATAATTCCAACAATTTAATAAAGATTTAAATTATAATAAGTCAACAATATGTTTTGATGTCAAATTAAGTCATGATTTTGAAAAGTAAATCAACATAGAATTCAGTTGGAAAATGACGTAACTTGAAACACTTAGGCACGTCACTGTAAATGGATGGTTATATAATTGTTTCTGCATACATTGTAATTATTGATGCCATCATGGAACTAGATATGAGTAATACACATCAGTCCAAATGAAGAGAAGCCGATTGCGACAGAAAGGCCTAGCGGTCATTCTGGTTTGTTATCTCGTATACGTATAGTTTTGTTATCCTTTCATTTATTAGTTTTGCTTTCATATGTATCAACATGATAATTGAATTGTTTTTATTGAGCATAGGCGTCGGCGTTTCTGGTACTGCCGACACTGAAGCATAATGGATCACGCCGCGGGGCAACGAAACCAACAACACTTTATTCAGCCTCCGAACAGAAAACATTATGGTTGGTGGGAATTTAATTCAGACATGTCAAGTTTTATTAATAAAAAAAAGATTGTTTTATGAATGTTGATTCAGAGGTATGCGTACAATGATTTTATATTTTGTTAAACATATGGAATCAAAGGTAATTTAGCTATTGAGTACATATTTTATTTAAATGTGAACAGATCTATTAAATTATAATTGAAAAAAGATGTGTTATTTAGTTTATGCAAAAAACCGTTAATTATCTATACTTAGTCTGATTCTCACGTGATATATCTATTTCATTAACACTTGAGATCTGGACGTGTCATAATTCTGGAGCCTAACGAAGTACATATGTAGTGTCAACAAAATGGTAAATCAACAAATGACGTATGTTAATTTTTTCTCAACATTTTTTATCCAAGTTATTCTATATTTTATTCGTATATTGAAATAATTAAACTATGTCTCACCGATCCCACAAGATGACAGGAATTATAAGTTATAGTCTAAAATGAAAGTAAATAATGTATCTACATTTTATATGTTACCTGATCAGGTGAAATTAATTTCTTGTTAGTTAAACTATCGTTAATTATATGGTTTTGAAATAATTAAATGAAAAGGTATTGCATAAAGAAGCCGATATTATATGGTCCTGGATAAATAACCTGGTACACCCATAGAATAATTACTTGTCTTTGTGCTGATGAGTAAATTGTCCGGTATGCTACATGTAATGAATGAACTGTCTTGTGTGCTAATTCATAAATTAATTTGTTTACGATTGAATGGTCTCGTTTGCTTATAAATTGATTGTCTTGTGTGGTAATGAATACATTGTTTTGTGTACTAAACAAATGACTGTCGGATGCACAGTATGAACCAATTGCCATGTGTTCTACTAAATTAGTGTGTGATAAAAAACTGTCTGGTGTGTTAAAAGATTAATTGTCTTGTTTGCTAATACATTGATTGTCTTGTGTGCTAATAGATTCCTTTTGTTCTATTTATATAATGGTCTGTATCTTAATGAATAAACTGTCCTGTGTGCTAATAAATCTTGTTCTTGTTTTTTTTAATATTGCTCCTTGAATTTTAGTTTAGTTTGCTAATCAATTTATTGTTTTGTGTGCTTATCATTTAATTGTCTTGAGTGCTGATTGATTATTTGCATTGTATGTTACTAAATTAATTATCGGGTATACTTATGAATTGTCCTGTGTGCTAATGAACTAGTGATCTTGTATGTATTGAATTTCATAACTGATGTGGTTTCGAGTACAAATACAATGGTTCATATTATGTTTCTGAGAAATTATTTGTTTTGAACTAAAGAAGTGCAATAGGTTTTTTCCAGAATAAAATCAAAAAGAGTTAATTGAAAGGTCATGACTGATTCGAAAAGAAGTTCTGTGTAAGAGAGTCAACAGAAAATATAATGTCTTACACTATTTAACTGCTTCGAAATTTATAACAGCCATCTTATCTGTAATGAAGGACAAAGTTCTTGTTCAAAGATGTGACTAATTGTTATTGAAGCTGTTGATGTTTTCTTCTTTTTAAAAAAAATAATCTTATACTGTATACTGTATATGGTCATTGTTGATGTTAGTATTAACAGAATTCCAGTGTGTTTGATTGTTTATAAACAATTTTGTTGTCTAAGCAATTAAATGGCATTTTCGCTTGCAACAGCAAAATTATCTGTGAGAAAATGCAAAGAGCTTTGTCATGCAAGTTCATTTCACAATTTTGATACAGCTTGTGCTGTTATCAGATTACGCTAGCTATCTAATTTATCTGTGTATTTATTTTCAGCGTATATATATAACATGCATATACTCGTTCAAATCCTCAACGATATATGAAGGAACTTTTTCTTGGATCGTAATCTGCATGTACCGACGGTTTGTTATGACGTGTTTATTTTATTCAAATTATTTATCTTCCCAAATGGTAACTATTGTATTCATACGGATATCAAAAGTTATGTTCAAATTAGAAACTGAGACGATGATTGACCTGTCAGGAAATTAGGACGAGGAACTTTTATTGTAATATATTATGCATGCTTTATTTGTGTCACACAAAAGAGTTCCGTTAAATGGTGAAATTCAAATGTCAATATATGCACTACGAATTATTTACATAGTTCAAAAATACTTGTCCAATACACAGGGACAAGACACTTTATTATTACTTTTTTGTATACATTACAGTACAAAAGTATAAAATTACATGTCTTACTGTTACATTATATTGGTATATCTGTCCCCTGCGATCCTGTGTTACTCATAAATCATACCCATCCCCAACTGACTAGTGTATAATGTAACGATTGATCATTGATATACAATTAAATTCCAATTAACGTCCAATATAAAACAATATCATGTAAGGTTAAAGGTGGGACGTATTAATTAGCATTACTGACTTGTTACGGCAGGGACAATTAGTGTCGATTTAATAAAGTGATAATGTGTTGATCACTTGATTGGCGGGATTGTGGTCAATGTTTGACATACATCTATTAACGTGTTGTAGATAATCTGGACATCTTAGAATGCCTCACATGTTCATGGTATACTAGCATTTACACCAGCTCTTACTTAATATAACTTACTTACCACCAATTAGAAATGTTATAGGCATGACCTTCGCCCTTTTCAAGCAGAAATTTCGACAACATCCCTAAGAATGAATGGAGAAATAGAAGTTTCAGATCAAAGTAAGGTGCTCCTTTATATTTACAGTCATAACGCGACACAATTCAATGTACCTCCCCTATACCTTCGGACACAAGTAACAAAGCTGGGTAAACATACTTCTGTTGACAAGGTAGTTCAAGCGGTTAGAGCGATATTACATCAATCTGAACTGTTGTTGGTTATATTTTGTTTATTTCATCTTTATTATTTCCCATAAAAATCCCGCGAAGTGTGGGTTTCTTTTCTAAATGATTTATCGAAGCCACAGTCATGCCGGAAAAACAGCTTCCAACGCTTATTTACAGTTTTTGGCAGTGGTACGGGGATCCTTTGATATTAATGTATTGCTTACAATATTATCAATTATTAAATGTTTGTTCATTGAAAAAAGAAAAAATAGGCATAATCAATTTTTATTTTCCGTTACACGTTGCTGTTCCGAGTTCTAGCTGGTATATATAGATCGTGAAATACTATTAGGGTCATGTAATCTCTTGACCATTGGGGGATAAACTATCAATACAAGCAGAAAATAGCACGTAGTTGAAATATGTTAGATGTAGAGGAGGTTCTGGTCAATTTCATCTCGAAACTAGCATTGGTTTTGAAACGAATAAGTTTCTTAAACAATGATATCCAAATACTAAGTAGATAGCGTCGCACCGCAAATAAATTACGACGGTTATACTTTCAGCATTATTCATAACCTTAAAATATCCGACTGACAATAATCAACAGCCAATAAAGCCGATATACAGTTAAACTGATTTGAAGATATCATATATTGAAAATTGAAATCTTAAAACCAAGTTTTACAAGTTTTTATTTCACTCAACCACACTTTAGTGTGGTACATTACAAGAGGTCACATGTATACAAATACAACATCTTATTCTGTAAAACTTATAATATGACAGGATTTACAGCATAATTATTATTTTCAATGTTGTTTAAAGAAATCTACTAACTTTTTTTAAGGAGAACAGTGTTGCATATTTGAAACATTCTTTTCATTTTCACGAACCACTTCTTTGAATTGCATTTCAATTTCCTGGGGCGTTTTCCCACACGTGTCACGTTTTGGTAGCACTGTCGTTGGACCTTTGATGAGCTAATGTCGACGCCGATTCTCATTTACAGATTAAAAAAAATTAGCTTCTGGGTCAATGAATTTTGTACACGTAGTTGTACAAACTGACACATTTTCTACGAAGGTAACTTTACCATGCTTGCACTGCTATACTTGGTATGTACATACGTAACGAGTTCGTTGGGAAAATATTGTTAGTAATCGTTCTATTACTACATGCCTTGAATATTTCTAGAGACGGAGAATAGACGATTCGTAGATGTATACTAAAGCCATTTTATGTATCAAACACGAATAAAATCAGACGCAGGTTGTCCTATTCCGCCTTTGCGTATTGCAGAGTTATCTTCTTTGTGAACAGGAATTGATTGTAACGTCATTGTGTTGTGTGAGAAAATTACGTCGTTTTCTCAAAAATTGTTGACGTTACTCTCACAAACAAACGACGAAACAATCACTACCTGCTCACAAGAGTAGATAACTCTGCAATACGCAAAGACGGAATAAGCATAATGAATTACATAATTTTACAACTGAAGACACACTAAAGGATCTGTCACTGCAGGTTGGTTACATTCCCAATTTCTATTACTACCTTAACCACAGTAAAATGGTCTTATACTATACATGTATTTCGTTTATGTGGGTGTTAATCCACGTACAATCTGTTATCGATCGTAGATTTTTGAAAAGATTCTTGATTTTTTTTCCGGAGAGCCATGCATCTCAATCATTTAAATTTTACCTCCGTTAATGCACTTGCAAACGAAGTTATAGATATATTGATATCGTTAGACATTTTACTTTTGTTGGTAAACCTCATTTTGTGAGCAGGAACACTTATATTTCATCGAAGTAGTTTGTATTTTTTATATAGTTTTATTCAGGAATTCATTTTATTTTACATTTTTACTAGTCTTTTTTTCATTGATGAAAGTCACCGTTTCCTTCCTCAAACCACTAAGTGTGAAACGTTAAAAGCAAGATCATGAGCAGGAGTCAGGAGTCATGTGGTACGTCATATTCATATTTCATTACAAAGGCGGGTTTTTCTGTTCTTTCTTTTAACTTTCTGTAACATTGTGGCTTAATGTGCTCTTTTACATTATCAAGTAAACCACATAATTTAAGAGTCTTACTTTCGTTCTCGTTCTTTCTAATTTTACCAGTCACACGGAAACGTTACATACTGTATAAGACATCAGTGATGCGTACATTTATATGTTTATCAATAAAAAGTATGTATGTTTATTTCAAGCGTTTGTACCAACAACTGTTCTCAATGACTGTCGTCTCCTCCTTTGATTCCTAGACATGTACTAAACGACCTATAATAATGTGTGCTAACGATTTCCTGTTTGATGTCATGAAAATGTTGACGTTTCAGTAAACGTGCCTTACACGTATTTTGATTACTAAATGTACGTGGCCATTTCTCATGATGTTTACAACATGTCCAGATTTGCATATATTACCATGAAGTGAACGCAATTCGTTTCTTCAATAGCTGTTTGCATAATCTACATTAATGAGGTGCAAAATATTTGCGGTCGATGGCCAGTATATATTGCTTGTTTTGAGATTTAAGATCTATTTTCTGTGAAAGTAAACTGTTATTTATTGTAATGCATAACACCAATCGCTTGAAGTTTGTTACATTATTGTAAATAGTTATCACTTTGTGACAAATATTCGGCAATATTGAAAGTTCTTATATCTTAATAATGTGATACTATTGATATATATATATATATATATATACATCAACAGACAATTTTGATTCTCTGTATCCTTACACGTAGTGCTTTTAAATTAATTGCGATCAAGTAGCTTTACTGAGGTTGAATGTGTTCATAGATTTTTGACATTACTCGAACATAAATCACGTGATTGTCAATCACTCAGAGGAAATGAAAAGCCGTACGTGAGATTCTCCAGTGCCGGGCGACTACTAATTATCTCTACTGCCCTTACTGAGGACCGCTTCTATTGATTTCGGTACACCGCGACAGCCACTCCGGCAGAAAAAAGGTTTGTATCTTTTTCCTTTGTTTTTATTATTGTAAAGCAATTATGAAACACTTTATTTTTGAAATACGTGTAAAATATGTTCATTTTCATCTGTTGATGTAGGTCTATTTTGCATCTGTTTTTCATAACCTTCATAATTGGGCAGCGTAACGTTGATCGTATATTTTTACTATGGTTTAGATCTATCACATGTTACCACTACCGCTTATTGTCACGATCGCTTTCTGATCTGTCCAATGTATAGTTATCAATGTTACAACGAAAATATGTCAAAATATTTGTTGTTATGCGATCGAATTCATTGTTTTTATTTATTGTAGCACAGTTTACAGGAAGTGTTAGTTCAAGTATAAATTATCTGTTGTATAAAAAAATCGTCAATTTGTAACGTTTTAAAAAATTTATAGACACTTTTCCCTTTTATGTTGTTATTCCACGCTTGTTTCGGAACGCATTCGAAATGAATATTTATATAAGTCTAAAGTGGGTGCAACTGCCACATAGTGCATTATCACGTTTACTGTGTATTGCTTCTGGACCGGCTTATTGACGTTAAAAATAGCTGCTTTCTTAATTAGTATATTTCGTCATAAATCGTTTACGGTTAATTAATGATTTTGGTATTTCTGGCTAAATATACCGTTACAATTAGAGCTTTAACAGATGCGACGACTGTGACTTTTATTTGTTTGTCGTATGGATTATTATTTTTATTAATTGATTTTCTGTTTTTTTTCCTCGAACGGTCTTCTTACAGTGTCCTTATCCTTTTTTGTGCGTCACATAGATCTTTCATATATATTCTGGCTCTTATTTTCTTCTGAAGTACATATGATCGAATATAAAGTAATGTATTAACACGCGTTTCGATTTCAAATACTACTACGGTGTATACAAAACAACATGATGATAATTGTACAAGTATTTGTATCTCATAATTAGTTAAAAATAGTATAATGTAAATAAAATGCTACGCGTAAAAGAAAATTGGAGGCCATTCATTTAACTTTAATAAGTATATGTTATGTAAAATTATTCGTGTTTTGAAGGAATTGCTTGGATTTGAGTTTCACTTGAATAATTGCAAGGAATATGTGGTGTTAGAATTGCTCTATGAAATATTGTGGTATTATTATCCCTGTTCATTTAAGGAAAATGATAATTTTTCAATATAAAATTTCATTTCGTTATGTACAAGAAATGCCCCTATTCACTGCGTCAATAAGAAATAACTTCTTATTAATAACCTATTGATATTCTGCAACCAAATAATTATTTTATGAGGGCTATAATTGATAAACGACATGAATCACCTAACGAGGAAACTAATAACTCTACGCGTCATATCGCCTACGGGGATATAACTTACCTGCGGTCGTCCTGTCGTTATGACTTTTGATGTCCTGCCTCTCTGTTTGGAATAGATATTAACTTACGTCTTTCAAATTGACATGTTAAATGAAAAGTACATCTCAGTGTCACTACAGCATGATCAACGCCTTAACAAAACCGTGTTATTCTGATACAGCATACGAATAGTAATACTAATAGGGATACGCCGATAAGGCCTTAAATAAAATTCAGTCAGTAACATTGATTCCTTAAACCATGTCGTTTTCTTTGATAACAAATGTTTGTTAAAATGTATAAATGTAGTTATAACCTTATTTTCTATTTCCTAATGCGAGTATTTAGGGTTTTTCCCAAACATACTCTTTTTTAGATTGTACATATAAATCATTATAATAATTGTATCTCCTTCGATATAACTACATAATATTAACTGAAAAATGTGCATTATCAAAAGTACATAATTGCATCCCCTTTGTATCATTGTCATTTTACAATGTTCATCATCAACATATCGTACTAGCTGATTTCTATCTCGGTATAGGCGTCTGACATTCTGCTACCACTAGCCCTCCATTACTGGGTCACGGGTTCGAGACCTACGTGGGGCAGTCGCCTGGTACTGACCGATGATCGGTGACTTTTCGCCGGGATCTCCAGCCTTCCTCCATCACCAAAACCTGGCACGTCCCTCAACAAACATTTGTTATTAGGACATAAATATGAAAAAAACAATTTTCTCGGCAAAGGACTGAAAAAAAAATATTAAAAAACATTTGGTTCCAAATAAATAATTTCATATTTGCAAATAAAATCACATAATATAAGTAAACTTTTAGTTAAAGACAGAACTATTTCTTTTTCTCAATATATTAATCTCCATTATTCTCTGGTTTTTTTAAATTGCCTCCTGTCAGCACTTTTATGAAAACAATAAACACATTGTTCCGTTAAAAATAAATAAAATGAAAAAGTTGAACACAGGCAGTTAAAAAAAAAAATATCAAAAATGCATTAACGGATGTTCAACAATATCAAGTTAATTTTATACGTTTTACCAACAAGTTATTTTTATAATGCAAAATAAGACGACTTTGTAAATTTTACCGTGCCGCTAAATAATGCGATATGCTTGTAATGATTAATTATTCGTTATTCTGAATGTAGACAATTCGACGTCTGCACTAAGACTGTGATAGCCCATTGATCATTACCAAATCATCAATTAATTACAATGCACTTTTTTTGTCCATTCAGACAGCAATTCACTTAAGTGCTGTACCTTGGTAACGTTAGACTAAATGGCAAACGTGACAAACAATTAAACACAGCTTAAAGGAGAAATGTTATAATGAATGGCAAAGTAATGAAGTGATATTAGAAAACTTTGATATAGTGTGCCGCTCCACCAAGTTATGTATGGCACAAGAGGCTTCACTTTTTTCTTTTTTTTTTCAATTATTCATGATATCTGTGGTCACATAATATCATTATGGTTACATCATCGGACTTCTGTACGGCCCTAATTGCCGTAAAGTGTCATCTGAGTCTTTTTCAATAGTGAATTCAGTATTTTGTAAAGGTATTATTGTATTATTGTATTATTTGAATTGGTGATGACAAGACATTTGTGATAAAAGTTATAATAGTGTGACTTAAGTTTGTTACATTTATTGTATTTTTCAACAAATATAGCCTAGTAATTTAAACGAATGTTACTTGGAAGCCATTTACATCCTGACCTGGTGTGAAACAATATCGGTATGATTAAAAGTGTCCCGTTTTGTTATATACCTAGTGACGTTGACTTCAGTAATCCATCAAGTTTTGATTCCATGTAGGGTAAGGATTCGTATTGCACATGAACTTATATGAATTTATCGGTTATTATTCACTTCGAGCATATTATTGCCATTTTGCGCTACTGTAAAGTGCCACGATTATTCCGTCCCTAACAATGGTTTGTCTTACATTATTGTTTGGTTTTTGGGAACTAAATTGGCGATTCATACGAAAATCAAAATTATCTTAGTCTTGTGTATCACTATGTAAGGTATATAATAAAAGTCATACCAAACATCTGTCTTTATTTGACAGCGCATATTCGCCAGCACAAAAAAATTTATTTTACCCCAAATTTTGGGATTATGTATCATGCTTCTGTGGCAGCAGTTATAAAATAAAAGTATGTGTATCTTAAATACCGTCAATACCATAACATCTGCTTACAAAGATATTACTTTATTTAATTTACAAGTGAATAAACCTTTGTTATGCATTGAGTACATGTACATGTTAAACTAAACTTTGTATCTAAACATTTTCTTCATGTTGGTAAGTATGGATTATGGAAGTCCTTCTTACACAACCGATACAATTTTCAACAGATGTGATACAATAATCACAGAACAACAGGACAAAACACAAGAGAAGAATCACATCGCTAGGACAATGAGAACATGTGCATATCCGAAATGGGTCCTAAAACGGGTAAAAAAAACAGTGTCAAAGTAAGGAGAAGAACAAGAAAAGGCCAATAAAGGATAAGAACAAAACCAAAGGTCAAGTGGTTATCCCGTATATACAGGGTATATCCGAAACCATCCAGAGGATATATCGCGGTCATGGCATAGCAACAGCCATGAGGCCCCTAAAGACGTTTCGCAATATCCTAGTACACCCTAAGGATAAAACACCTAAAGAAAAACGTCGCAGAATGCGTATACAAAATCGGATGCAAAAACTGCGACGCGTCGTATATTGGAGAGACTGGAAGGCAATTTGGGGTCCGCCTGGGTAAACACCGGAAAGATACAGAAACCCTAGAGGGTAGGAAAATCACCAGATCTGAAAGAAAACAGTCGGAGTCCCAGATAAATAAATCGGCAATCACAGACCATGCCACACAGAAAAACCATGTGATTGACTGGGATAACTCCAAAGTTTTGGACAGAGAGAGCAATCTGTTCAAGCGGCAGGTTAAGGAAGCCATCTGGTTACGCCGCAGTTGGCCAGTTCTTAATCGAGACGAGGGGGGCTCAAAGACTCTCGCACATCTATGACCAAGTGTTAACAAAGCGTAGCTGAATTGAGTCATTTCGGTACATATATAACAACTATTGTACATACGTTTCCAGCGTAGCCGAAATAGACATCGATTTTATGGACAACTCCATTTTACACCTGTGTGTGCATACGCTTCATTGGCCATTTGTCTGATGAAGGTGACAGTGTACATATCGTACTAGTCATCGAAATGTCACATAGAAAACTGTATTGGTTGTGTAACTCATAATACAATGTACAATATTCATATCTTATATTATTTTGTTTTGATATTTGTCGTAATAGGTCATACCAACAGTAACAGGCACCACATCCAAACATGTTTTGGATTCTAGCAGTGTTACTGAGTCTTGCAGCAGCCGACACGCCCAACAAAGATGGGAAATGCAAACAGAAGCTTGCCAATCAATATGATTATATCATAGGTAAGAAAAGATGCCAAATGTATGCAGAATTAAATAGCGTTAATATAATGTAAGCTTAATATTCATTTGGAAAATGAGGTTCCTCCAAATAAATCTTAACCCTCCCTGATGTGTCCAATTTGGCTTGATTATATAAAACGTCGAATTAATGAATTTCATATTTCTTTTAAAAAAAAGGAAAAGGGAAAGACAATGTTATTAAAAGACAAAAGTATAACTAAGTAAATGAAAACAGCTTAGGGTTCTGCAATGGAACACCTGCAAATGGAACCCTGAAACAGGATCAGATTTACTGTTACAGTATATTAAACCCCTTTAGAAAACAGACGAGGTTAGGGACACACATATGTAGCAAATAATGAACATATTGATGCATTAATAAGATAAGATATTTGCAATAGGATATATAGAGGTTACACAACGAGTGGTTGTTGAATATAGTATTTATTTCACTCGAGTTAGTTAATTTTCAAAAGATACAAAAGACACGAGCTTTAGCTAAAATTATCTAACGAGAGTGAAATTAATACCATACTCAACAAGCACGAGTCGTGTGAACTGTTTCTACCACAATCTCAATCGGAAACAGCTGGAGTAATTTTGTTTACAAGGCTGGCGTAGTGATATGACCCATATGTAAAACGTCACTCATTAATATTCAAAAATGACATTTCTTTTTTTACAAATTTAATCATTTTCAAAATTAATATTTCGGCAACAACTTCGTGAAATAAAAATAGATGAACGACTTTAAATATTAAGAGTATGCAATATTGCATTAATGAATATAAATTAACCACGGACTATATGCGCGAAAGCATATCGTACGAAGTCTGCCTCCCGCCAAGTGATCGAACTAATCGCTGTCAATGTCCAAAACCATAGACCTGGGACGTTTCTCCATGAGGTTCTATGGTTGACGTTTATAGTGAGAGTTCCGCCATAGACAGGCCCTCAATATATTGATAACGGGACATGGGGAGAACGAAATATTTTCCGACACTGTTACAGATCTTCTTTTGGTTTCACAGATACATAAATATTACGTCTCTTGGTTTCACGACCTGGACACGCGACGGTATGGCGTCGAAACAATATCGAGCGTCTGTAGCAGTTTTGCCTGAAATTAGCGATCAAATCTTTAAGCATCATCTTCTTTTGGTATTGCCTTAATAACCCCCTTTTCCCATTGCATAACCTCACAAAAGTCACCAACATTTGCCGGATGTTGACAGCAGACGACGTGAACACAAAAAGCGCGTGAAAAAATTCGTCCGGTCAACGTCGATCTTCTCGACCAATCAAAACTACGGAAGGTCATATACCACGTGTGGTGTATAACTCATATTTATTCAACAGTCTGCATGTTTATACAATGATCTGAGAGTGGAATAACACGGCGTATTGTGGTAGAAATCATATTTTCTTGCTATTTATTCTGTTCTCCCAGCATTACTATAGCTTTGATAAAATATTTTTGAAAGAAAATCATATCTTTTGGGGCATTTGTGAAATAAACAAAATATAATAAAGAGTCAGGTTTTTACACTTTTGCTCTATTCGACTGAGCTACGCGGTTAGCAGGACTATCCTGGTCGAATTGTATTACAGTTATATCCAGCACCAAATTGAGGGGAGGTTCTGTATATATGAAAAACCACAGTGCAGTAGGACAGGGATACTTACAGTTGTGGGATCGCACAACGTTACACGATGTGCGGTGTCCGCACGATGTGTGCACGGTGTGTGAACGATGTGTGCACGATGTGCGAACGATAAAAATGTGGGCGATCAAATCTTGCGCACATTTGTGTGCACGATGGACTAACGTTGTGCGATAACAATCGTGGTTGGTGTAAATTGAGGAATGCCTTAACAATATATACGGTTTCGTGTTTAAACATATAAACCTTGATTTTACGTATGTTTCTATATTCTACCTACACCTATAAACTTATCTTTATATCTATACTTTCTTAAATTTGGAAATTGTGTTTTTGGTATTTTTTAAACGACCTTAATCGACACCTGTGAAATCACAACACAGTCCCGTATACAGGTAAACATAGCCACTAGCCGTCTACATGTACCTGGACGGTAGTTTTCCCCCGCCCGGGGCGCTTACGTATTTCGTCGGGTAGGGCCAGGGGTGTGAAAACACAGGTGAAGGGGAGCTATAGGCAAACCGAATGCAAATAACAAATACTAAACGTCCAGCTGTGTTTTCATTACGGTCATACGGTATCGCATATCAGCTCTATGTGTCAGGTACAGGCCAGGTCAAACCCCGGTAACTCATCAAATTGTTAATTACATATTCTGTCACCTTGGCGCGAAACCCATTCTTGACAGTCTAACGGTCACTGTAATGCTGTGTTACACGCATTGTAAAACTGTACATAATCTTCATTACTGTGATGAAAAATTACAAAAATACATACAGTTTTCATTATTGCATACGAGCTTTCCGTATTTTTTTCATTCCGTAATATTGATCTACAAATTGTACCCAATCGCACAGTTGTGCGGAGAGAAGCTCACAACGGGGCGAACGATTGTAAAATCGCACAATTGTGCGCACAATGTGTGGACGATGTGCGAACGGTGTGTGAACGATGTATGCACGGTGTGCGCAAGCTATTTTTGGTGCGTTGTGCGGTCACACAACTGTAAAAGAAGTGTGTATAGTTATTGTAAATTTGTTGTTTTCTTACTAATTAAATAAAACAATGAATATTGACTGAATTGTTTTACTTATAAATAAGATAATAAGATATTTAGGCAATTTTCCGACTAATATTTTGTTATTAAATACATCGTCTTGAAAAAACCCACTTTTGTTTTCATTATATTTTGGACAGTGGATTAATATTCTGAACGTAATGTGGGTTCATTAGTACCTACTACTAACTTGTCTAATATACTCATTTGTTGCGATACCTCATGATCAATGAATATTCAACAGCTAATTACCGAAGAAATATTCAACAGGCTTTCAAAAGACAATACCAAAAACAAAAAATAAAATCTCGAGTTTGTGTAAATACATACAATCATATTATTTACAATGGTGGATTTTCCTATCTTCAGTTGGCGCTGGAACTGCCGGATGTGTGTTGGCTAATCGTCTGTCAGAACATCCGTTCCACAATGTATTGCTGATAGAAGCCGGCGGATCTGACAGGGACCGGCCGGAAACAACTCTCATAGATACACCTGCCTTAGTGGCGGACCTATGGAATTCCGATGTGTCATGGCGGTACAGCAGCGAACCCCAGTCCAGTGCTGGGTTCGGCCTTAATGGAAATGTAAGCTTTAGATTAAAAACGTCCTAAATGTGATGCTGCGTACTGTTAAAAACAACTGTTTGAATGTGATATCATAATCTTACCATGCCTGTTCTTTCGTCATCCATAACGGAAGTTAATTTATATTTTTCATTTTATCAATTCAAAATATGAAATATTTTCACGCACAGGGATGTGACAAAGAGTTCATTTGTATTTCGGGTTATATGCAAAACAATAAACTGTTAAGTCAGATATTTTCGTAGAGTCTAGATTTCGCGATTTCACCAAAAAACAAATTTTGTTGATACATACATTTGTGGTTTACAAGGACCTATTTATACGAGGAAAAGCTTTATGTGAGACCTGTAATAACTCGTGAACCTACGAATTTAGAACCCCGCCAAAACTAGTGATTCAACAGTATTTCATTTGTGTGTGTCGACTAAGATATATATATATATCCATGTATTATGAGAATTGAGTCTGTTTGATACGAATCAGAATTGATCATCCAATATGTATATATAATCAGGCCCCTTACTTTAATTAACACATATATCGGTAAAATTGAAGATTAGTTATTTTAATCAAAGAGTATTGTAAAATAAATGTTTGTTTGTTGGAATTTTACGAGTCTCCTTTTGCAAATACAGTCATCGAAAACGTCACCTATACAATATTCCGTTTTTGCTTTGCTGTAGAGGCTGAATCTCCCTCGTGGAAAGGTGATAGGCGGAACAATGGCGATCAACACAATGGTTTACCAGCGAGGTAGCCCTGAAATCTACAACCAATGGGCGAAAAAAGGCGCACATGGCTGGAGCTATAATGAGGTTGAACAGTACTTTGAGAGGATGGAAGATGTACGACTAAACGAACCCTACAACAAAGGTTGGTTAATAAAACAATCTACATTAAACTTCGGTATACTGCCTATGTAAGGAGTACAATGTGGGTTTAAAACCTCGTTGAACTGCCAGAAACTGCAAAGCAAAATAAATTGCGTTACAAAGGAAATCTGTTAATGCTTCACTGTCAACAAACAATAGAGGTGATACAATACAGATGACGTTTTATCTTACATTACACTAAACAAATGAACATAACATGAACCTTTATCGGTAGGAATGCAGAAGAATATTAAGCGATAGTAATGTTCTAAATTAAGAAACATTGTTTTCACTGTAAATAGTAATGTTTTCTTGATCTAATTGATTAACTTGCAGTTTTAACATCCCAGGCTTATTCATTGTTTACTTTCCTTATGTATACTCAATACCTAGAAATACTTATATTGATTGTATTTACAGCAAAACGGGGAACCTGTGGTCCTATGCGAGTTTCACAGAATAAAATAACAATCTTCCGAGACCTCTTTGGAAATGCATCGCTAGCCCTCGGATACAAACGAATGTCCTGTAACGAAGGAGTTGACGAGGGTATGTTATAAATAGAACATATATACACAGGCCTACTCCAACCACTTACACGCTTCTCTCGGATTAAATGGATTTAGTATTCGCCCGGATGAGATTGATACCTTCGGGTTGACCTTAGGTACTGTCACTCTCTAATGAATGTATTATTCATTTTATTATACCGAAAGTCAACATGGTGGCTGAAATGAACCGTACGCACATCTTTTTTGCGCGCTCAATATTTTTCTCTGTAAGGTATACTGTCTCTCGTTGCAAAGGCGTTGGGTAGCACCCTTCCATTGACTCAATGTTAAAGCGGAAATGACAGTGAGCAATATGTCTCGAACAGTTAGATTACAGGAGTTTCATTAGAGATATAATAATTGAGAATAACGCATGTGCTTTCAACGTCTATATAATCATATATCTTATTCATATTTCCGTTCGTTTAAATGGCGATTATCAATTGTGTCAGTCCACGAAATGCGAAGCTACAAATTTGTACGTAAGACTGGCCAACTTGAAGAACAAACTGTAATCGATTAATAGTTAGGTATTAACTATGTTTTGATATTTATTTTTGTAATCCGCTTCATTGTCACTGTAAATAAACGTTTTCATTTAAGGGTATTTGAAAAAGTAAAAACATTTTTTTTTTTTTACCACAGATACATTTAATAAAACCAAGCTCTTGATATCATAACATTTCTAGACCTGTCGACCTATTCCCTGGTATATGATAACTGTATATAAATACTTCTGGGAGATGCTAACAGACTGTTGACGTAATATGTTGGTGTGTTGTTTTTTTTTAAATCGGGCGGTACAAAATATATTAAACTATTCATATAAGACCTATACACTATACATCATCTGTCGATTATTACATACTACTTTAGTTTCGAACGCGAAGAACAACTACTAAAGTAACTAAGCTTAAATATTGCTATTCACTGTTATTGCAGGTTTCTGTGCCCTACAAATAAATACAAAATCTGGAGAGAGATGGAACACAGCCAAGGCGTACTTGGCTCCAGTCATGGGACGAAAAAACCTACATGTCCTTACCGACACTACAGTGGCCAAGGTAAGTCTCAATAAACTCTTTGTTTTACAAATACATGGATTTTGTAATTTTCATGATTTGGGATTGCGTTGCAATACACGATTTTGTTTATTTCTTAAATAATCAGAACGAAAGTAACAAGGCGATACACAGGTCAGTGAATCAGCCATCACAAGTAATGAAAGAGAACAATATTTAGAATTAATGGAAATGAAATAAAATGCCCTAAACAAATACTTCTGACGAAGAGTTGTGTAAGTACTATAACAATGCATTGACTGATGCAACCTTGACCGGAACCTCATTCTTTTTGACTTTATTGAAAGGGGGATTTTGTTTTATCTTAAATCTGTGAAGTAAGCATTATCCTGCTATACAGAACAGTGGTTACTTTCGATTGTAAGTCACGAACAATTATTTTAATTATCTTTTATGAGCGAGCTATGAATTGATATGACCATGAACTAATGGGGGTTTTTTTGCGTGTTTTTTGGTGTTTTTTTTTTGTAGAAACATGTTAATATTAATCCAGCCTAATTAAATGAATATTACCTAGCAATAAACGTATCCAAGTGTCATGAGATGAGTTGAAATAAAATGTATGTATGTAAATATTGTATTCAATGTCTTCATATATCAAAAGTATGCTGGGAGCCATGGAGAGAGCTTATATGACAAAAACTGTTGCTCAATCCTTTTGTTTAATCAATAAAATATATTTGAAATGAAAAAAAAATGATATGACCATTGATGTTATTTTGTGTTAACTTTATTTGGTATTTTTTTATTATTATTATCAACAGGTACTGCTCTATCAGGGTACAGCTGTTGGGGTGGAGTTTCGGTCCTCAGAGGGCAAGACAAAACGTGTATTTACAAGGAAGGAAGTTATCATAAGCGCTGGCGTTTTTAACACTCCGAAGTTGCTTTTGCTGTCGGGCATTGGCCCCCGGGAACACTTAAAACAGCTAGAGGTTAGTAATCTCTTTTAATGGTTTATGCAAAATAAGAATTGGAAAACATATTTACATTATATGAAAAAAGAGAAAAAACATTGTTTTGGAATGTTTCTTTGACGTCATCAATGATGACGTCATAGCCTAAGTGTTAATTTGAACTTAGGGAAAACTATAAGCAAATCGTATAAAATGATTGCAAATATCACTATGTACTTTTGTATTGAGTCAAGAAGTTGTGTGGTGGAAAAACAGATAAAAAAGTGCTATGCATGAACTACATGTAACATACTTTTTGACTCTACGATTGCATTAGCCATAACGATGAAGCCATATTTTTTTTCTTAATGTTTTACTTTTAAAATTTCACAATAAGTATATTTGGCAACTGTTTGTTTGAAAGATTCTTTTTGAATTTCAATCACTGTAAGTTTGGATTTTAAAATTATTAATGAATTATTAAATTGACATCAACAAGTCTACGCTTACATCTCATCTAGATTCCAGTGATGTCAAATGTTCCTGTGGGATTGGATTTGAAGGAACTACCAGTGGTACCATTACGAATATTTTTGAATATCCCATCATTCACTCCAGAATTGCTTGTTCGACCAGAACACACACTGGCCTACATAACGAACAGAACAGGTAAAAATCTGTTTTTGGTATGTTCAAGGAAACAATAATTATACTTACATATTTACTGTCCTTACCACGAAAACGATACCTTCCGAGTAGAAAAAATATTTGGTTTGTCCTAAGACATAAGGAAGGGCCCCACGTTTAGTACAGGAATAGTCATAGTATCTGGTTTCACCTCCATTCTAAATCGTTTCCGAAAACCAGTCCATAACTTGCGGAACTCTTATGCAAAAGTAAATACAACACAATCTTATAGAGTGAAAATGCAACAGGGACAGATATTTTTCGTTTTCTCTTACTAATTTATACCCTCGACCAGTCATGGTTCGTTGACCTAGTCCTTCAACAGTCATATCGAAAACAAAGGAGATGCTTCTTAATGTATGAAAACCAGTAGAATTTTGTATTGTTTTGCCTGCTATAGGACATGGAACTTTAAGTTCGTGGTCTTTTCTTTCTCTATCGCTTTACGGTGCCTATTTAATCTTGCATATCTTTGCAGTAGAATCATTAAATCTAATACAATTTATAAACAAAAGAGAGGTCACAATATGTCATAAACTTGTCTTTGTGCAGGTTTGCTGTCTGAAGTATCCCCGAAAGAAGGGTTGCTGTTCGCCAAGACGTCACTTGACACCCCAGACTGGCCGGACATCAATCTTTATTTCATCAGCACACTGTTTGACCGTCTTCCTGAGATTCTTCGAAGCTGGAACATCAAAGAAAATGTTCGTTTTACTTTTTGTTTTTTTCCTTGATTTTCCCAAAGTCTATATTGTCAGTTTTATAGTTATCCTACTGACAAGCACTTCTCCGAGGCTAAATCTTTCTCCAATGTTCCGATTTTTCTCTGGGCACTTCGGTTTTTCTCTCCACCAAAGCATTGTGTGTCCTTAAAGGACGTTAATAGAACGTTAAGCCAACAAAAACAAACCAAATATTATACGAAATTATATTAAACTACATTAGGTAGACTTCAAATATGTTCATAGTGCAAGCTTGAAGTAACAAATACATTAAATTGGTTATCGCAAAAGATAATGATTGTGTTGAGTGAAATAAATTATACAGTATACATATTCTAATATCATAATACATTTTGTTTGATCATTTCAGTTAATCAATACGTGGTTTCGTGAAGGTTTGGGACGTGAAGGTATTCAGATTATGGCTCAACTGATACACCCACTCAGTCGAGGTAGAGTTACACTGAAGAGCGATGATCCTATGGACCCGCCCCTTATAGATCCAGGATTTCTGACAGACATTAGGGATGTTAGGGAATTAATAAAAGGTATATAGCAATATTTCCGACTCTTAACCTAATACATCGGAGCTTGTCAATTATCCTTTTATTTTCCTATAACATACACTTTACTGTGAACTCAGTATTTTTCTGTTGGTTTTTAATTTCGTCGATTCCGTGAGTCCTCTCTATTAACGAATTCATAGGTCGAGGAAGTAGTTTCAAGTTTGGCATAAAGCTACGTGTATTCCCTATATGAGTGGGTATTCGTGCCCATCGAATTCATGATACCTCGAAATGGGTGATGTTTCGGGAAACCGCATAATTTGGGCCCCACGAAAATGAATGGTTTTTGAAATACTATTCCTTGGTCCTAGAAATGTTAATATTATTTCATTATCTAGTAATGGTACGACTTAAGATGATTGACTCTGCTTGCTGACTATCAGTCACCGAGGGTTGCCGTTTCCTTATAGCTGGAGTCTGTTCTCGCACGGTTAGGGTTTACAGGAATGCCAGTTTAAGTAGAGAGTACCTACTGTAACATTACGATGTCAATTAACAGCATTATATGGAGTTTTAGAGGCATCTTTCCTTTTCTGCTGTATCTCAACATATGTGTACGAACACTTTTGATATGAATATCTTATTAACTTGACCTAGAGTATCACTTATAACACCGTAATGGGCAACATGACAATATGATGCAGTAAAAGGTTAATGTAGGTTCACTAACTGCATTCGTTAACAAGATTTTCCAAAATGTGTTTTCTCTTTTCATGATTTTAGCGATTGTTTTTCCGTATTAGTAATTAACACAATTATAACACACGCTTGGTATATGGATGTGATTGATGTCCGGTTCACTCGCACGTGTCTAATAGTTATGATATCCTAACACGATTCGAAACAGATGTCGATATTATCCATTTGAATATGATAATTCTGATATATTTCTCAGAAAACAAAAGAACAAGGTTTATTATGGACGATAAAAATGCCACAATTTCATATTTAAATTGTATCGAAAAAAAAAATCATTGGTCATTTCATTTAGTAAGGATTTTGACAACATTACTTAAGCAATTATTTATTCTTTTAAATTAATGTTGACTATTGGCACAAGGTTGTACATAAACAGTACTACAGTACTTAAAAAAGAAAATTTGGGAAAGAATATAATTGAAAGAAGACACTGACATGCATTATATATTTTCATTAACTGAATCAATCAAACGGTAAAAATGGACTGTGTGTATTTATATTTTGAGCATTGAAATGATGAAAAAATATTCGGTTATATACAATGGTAATGCTGGATATTTCAACACATGCAGTTAAAACAAATCTCAAATGGTAAAAAAAAATCTTACACTTTCTTGTTTTAGTGTTCAATTACTGTACACAATTGTCAGTCAGTACATATGTTGACGAATTCCTTGTTTTTTATTTCAGCTGTACGGTTAATCAACGAACTTGTAAACACGGAGTATTTAAAAAAGGCTGGAGCGACAATGGATGCCCCTTTCCCCGAATGTAACCAATTTACTTTCAACACTACGGACTACTGGGAGTGTTACATACGATACTTTGCTATCGCTAACTTCCACGGGACTGGTACTGTTAAAATGGGGAGTGTCAAAGACAATGCAGCTGTTCTTGACCCAGAACTCAGGTAACTATGAGTCTATTGTATAACTGCATTATTACACCTCATCGTATATACATTTGCTCTGCATTCTTCCATTGTAATGCTTTGCGAAGGCAAATATTTTTATGAGACTGTAACAACCTTTGCTATTGTAACGTCATCAATTTCTATTGTGACGTCATCTATTTCATTTTTTTTAACACTAGATTTCCTGTTGAAAAAATATTCGAAATAACTAAAAAAGCATAATTACTCTATCAAAGAGTAAATATAAATAATGAATATTTTAGCAAACATTGTTATGGTCTATAACAACATTTGCTAAAGCATTCATCGCTTAAGTAAAAACATTATAGTGAGCATTACAGATCACCACCCTGTAGTAAGAAATATTTTCTCATGGCGAGTACATAGTAAATATCGAAAGACCACCACAGGTGGACCCGATATTTTATCCACATGCGGCAATGAGGAAATTGTTCGAACGACAAACACTGAAAATACTGTGTGATAATCAGTTAATCATATATATACTACTGTACTACCATATTTATTTTACCGTACAAATAATTAACTCTACACCACATCATCCAACATTCTAGGCCTTTAGATAATCAATGTCCCCGGTCCGTGACCAATGTAAACAAGTTCAAGTTTTGCACGTAGGTGAACCTCAGAACTACTAGCAAACAAATCTTTCAAATATGATATTCTTGTCACGGGCTTCTCCATACGCATGTTGCCTCTAAAACAGTCCTGTTATCGTCAAACTATTTTTTCATAATGTTATAATGACTTTCTTTTGGCAGACTATTTTCTTAAATGCTACACCATTGTTTGGACACTGTTTTAGGTTCTTGACATTGATTTTACGAGCAAACATTCCAATTTTTAAAGAAACCTTCACGAATGGGAAAATCAATTATCACGTCGTTCTCAGCTTCTATTGTTGTTTTAAACACTTCGGNGGGGGGTTCTCGAGTACTCTCAAACTGGTAACCCGTGATAATTAATGTAACGCACCTGGTAGATTATATAAACGTATTTCAACTTTGACATCCACAAAATAGATATACGAAGGCCACGAACTGTGTATAAAACACATAAACAGGACACAAGAGATGAACCAAACAATGCATTCAAAAGTCTCAAAGAAATACGAAATACCTAGTTACAAGTTAATACAGTTGTATCGGTATGCTCAAATAATAAGGAATTTATAAAACTGTTTTCGAAAGAAAAATCATACTATGATCGCATTTTCCTTTTCTGTTTTAAAACAGAGTCAAGGGTATCCATGGTCTTAGAGTGGTAGGCTCGAGCGCAATGCCTGAACCTACGGAAGACCAAACCGCTGCGGTTATCATGATGGCAGAGAGGGCGTCTGATTTAATTAAATTGGCAGCAGGAGTTCCGGTAGGAGACGTTCCAATGATTCCCCGTCGAATGCCCCGCAATAATCCAAGACTACCTCGCCCGTCTGGTCCTCCAAGAAACCAGCATCGTCCTCACAATTTGCCAATGAAAAACGCACCGGTAGTGATCCAGGAAGATGGACACCTCTCCACTCCATTATCACAACACGTTGAACCTCAGAATACTCCGCCAAGTCCGTCAGGAGCACTTATTAGTTCTTCAAACCAACAGTCACCAATCGATCATACCTCACTTCATAAACCATTGGGACCTCTAACACTTTAATGTGTTTACATCGTATTCAATTAAAATTCGAGCGACTCTTCTTTGAAAAGCATATAACATGACGTGTTACTTAAATAAACATATTTATTATTCTTATAATTTTTTTCCTCCTTTTTTTAACTGTGGATCATTTTTTAAATAAATGTAAAACAATGAATTAGCTAATACAATGGAAAAAATATATTAACCCCCCCCCCACTCCCCCACCCCGCAATTATGTGATGTAAACACATACAATGATACCGTTTATTTCCCGATAATGTGTGACATGACCACATTCAATAATACAGTGCGCCCAAGTCAGATATACCAACAACACACCCAGTACTAGTGTGTACCCTGGTAAGATGTCAGGTAAACACAAGCAATGATGCAGTATGCACCAGAAAAAGTTGTTTGAAAATACACGGTGTGCAACCTAGTAAGATGAGACATAAACATACCAGGGATACAGTGTGCGCCCTGGTAAGATGTAACATAAACATACACAGGGATGCGGTGTGCGCCCTAGTAGGATGTGACATAAAAATACACAGGGATGCGGTGTGCGGCCTAGTATAATGGAACATAAACATACCCAGGGATACAGTTTACACAATCACGAACGAGTTAAAGACTAAAAAAGAGATACCGTATCTCAGGTACGCTAGCTGGAAAAGTGTATACAACATATAACGATTCATTTAAGTTATCCAAAAGCTGCGTTTCTAACATATACATACATATTCTTGTTTACTAATACCCTTTGACTCCAAAGGGTTTTGTTCGCCAATCTAAATACATGTAACATCGGCCGAGAGGAATAGTTTTGTTTACAATTATTCCTCTAAAGAGTAGTTTACAATTTGTTTTACCTATTGTGTAATATACATTTTCAGTAATAAAGTTTTTTACGCAGTTATTTATCGTTATTTTTTCTATAGAGTCCGAATATAGAACTAGATTATATACAAAGCGTTTTGTACAGGTTTAATCATAATGTTCTTAGTTTTATAAAACTATGCCTACTTTTATATTATGATAAACATATTTCCTTCATAGCAGTTTCATAGAACATGAAATAATAAAAAGGAAAAATGCGTAAGCTGAATTTCAGCAAAATGAATCAAAGGTAAAATCTGTTGTGTTCAGGGAAATTTCCAATCGTTCGAAAAAAAATGTCAAATCACTCCATGATAAACAGTTGCTATTGCAAGGTCTCCGATGTCTGCGGGATCACTTCAGTTACATATCAATGTTACTCGACATCATTGTATGCAGTTTCTTACGTTAAAATACCACGCTTTGACTTCGTGAAGTTAAGTTTAACACTCATGTCGATCTTTAAAAAAAAAAGGAATATTTCGATGTCAATTTCATATTGTTTTTGATTTAACTTACAAGCGTGGCCGTTCATTCATACATTAATATAGCTATTACTATCTAAATTTAATTATTAATAGTCATTGTATATTTATATCACACATTTATATCAATAAATGATTTATTTCGTTCTTTAAGGTTTTTTTCATTTGTAGCAGTCACAATATACACGATATGAGCGTATACTTGCTAATTAGGAGGCATGACCTGAAATATCCAAGATATTACTTAATGGTATTTGATTAATCTCTCATATATATATTCTGGACCTCAAACTGTTTTACTATCGTTTTAACCAATCTAGCCACCTGCTCAACGGAAGTGTTCTGGCTCAATTGTGATACAGGTATATACAAACGAAAGTTAAAGGGAACTTACAGTATTTACGAAAAACCTCTGCAAGCAAATGGACAAAGTTCATAGGAAATGGTTATTTTTAATCAACTTGTTGACAGGCCCCTTTATTACATATATATTAGATACCTATCTATGTGGGGATAAGAGCTCGTCGGACAGTCTGCACAGACACGTTCAGTTTCCTACACTTGTTGTAAACCTGCTGTAAACCTGCTGTAAACACGTTTAGTACATCACATGATAATTTCTAGGATAGCTTTTGGATAACTACCCTTGTTCTATTTGGTATAGTTAGCATCCGTCCGGGAACTATACCTGGGGACGGGCACTATACCTTTTTTTGGACCGATGAGACTGCGGGAAAAGTAGCATGACGCTAAGAGTTGCGCCCCTTCTCCTAGGGGGCGTTGTACATATTCTACTTTCACTTCACTGTTGTCGTCTGCCAAAATGGCTTCGAATTTCGGGGCCAGGAATGCCGATTGTTTCGCAGAGGCTCAGCAATGCATAAAGACGAAGCAGGCGAAACCATTTGACGTCGCAGTCCTTAAAGACTTCCTACTGGAAAGTGGAACAATAGCTTAAAGTCTAGTTCTCATACTGATCCTTAACCATATATAATATGCAAGTAAAGACATACAGTATATATTACATTTTCCACCGTACTATTTTACAAAGCTCTTTTTTCTTCTCTTTCGTGTAGTGTAATGCAAATAGAAGATGCGAGTCAGAGAACGCCAAGTACGGTGACGTTACAAGAATACTAAAATATATCATAACTTCTGCAAACAAATGAGTAAATTTGGTAGTAAATACATGCACACGCAAGCTGTTTCGGATATCTGCATATTTAGATCACATCGTTTTACATATTACATAGATAAAATCAACGTGTCCGTATAGAGTATATATTTTTAAAAAACGCCAAAGATAGATAGGCAACATTTCATCATCTTAGTCATACTTGTATATTTCAATAGTATATGTACATTATTAAAATGATTAACTAGCGCCTGTGAAACTTAACTCAGTAAAACGTGTGTCTTTTAAATATAGAAACAAAAACATTTTAAGTGTTGAGGATATGTACTGCCTGAGAGCGTGTTTTTGTGATATCAGAGATTCAAACACGAAAGGGACTCAAATATAAATGCTTTTGGTACTGTAGTGAACTGTGATGTTGACTTATATACTTAAAATGTTCTACTAAATACTTATTTCAGTTTGAATCAATTTGTGTAAATTTAATAAAATGTTTCTGAGTTTTTTATTGACGAATGTTACTATTTTTGTTTACCTTTTCGCTGTTAAGAGCCCCTAACTCTATGCCTTGTATGCATTGTCTCCTTACTATTTACTCACAACACGTAAAGCAACGTGTACCCTATTACAGAAAATACCAAAATGCTTCACATGTGACTGGGTGCCTTATGCCATCAACATACGGCTCCTTAATTTTAGCTCTTAATCCATCTCGAGTTGGTTGCCTTTTAAATGGCATGACTGGTTCAGCTATTAAGTCTTCTCTAATCACTATATGCCAAGAAATGATGATTAAAAGGCATATCCTATTAGGATTCCCCTTAATGCTCGCAAAATCTGCCATTTTTGTTATGGCGGATTATTGAAGAGTTAAAGAAAATGCTTGAAACAGACAATTAACGAAAATCGATAGGCAAATAGTTTCCATCCTTGTCAAGTGTTTTACCAATTAAACAAGCACATACGACGAATATTTTAAAGTATCATTATATACTAAATTTACGGAACAACTCTTTCCCAGCACCATCTGTTTCCCTTTTTGGAAGCAAACGTTACATGTGCAAACTGAATTTTAAAACCATAAAACCATTTTCTGTGTAACACGACACTTTTTACAGCTTAGACATATACACCATGCTACCAATACGACCTCAGAATCCAGTTGAAATGGAAACTGAGTAATTTAATATTTTTGATACTTTTTTGAACAACTGTTACAGGGGCGCCAGCTGTCTTTATCCCATCCTGTTATTTTTTTACAGCAAATATAATTATCACTGCAATTAACAATAACTATCATGAAGACTTTTTGATTTCATTGCTTAAATAACTAAACTACTATTGAATGAATCTCCCGTTTTAAAAAAACAAACTGTTTTTAAAATTGCAAAACTGTTTTTAAAATTGCAAAGCTGTTTTCTACATTTGACCTAAAACCAGCGAGTTTATACTATTGACATATTGTATACTTCGTTATTAGTATTAGGATACAGAATATAAAGAAAAACACATTGCATGTTATTACTATGTTCTAGATGGAATCAACTGCATGATAATTCGAAGGTACGGGTAACTTGAATGAACTGGAGTACGGAAATAAATTTAAGGCAGTGATTATGCTACTGTAACAGGAGAGGAAACCAGGGGAAATTAAATGGGAGAAAGTGAGTAAAAGCAGTTTTTCAGCGAAACAATAATGGCATATAGAGTCTTGCAATAATTATAAGGTGGTCACATAATTTGAGAAATTCTTTTCAATTCCCATAGGCCGTGTTAATGACTGTCTAATTAACGCGCTTCATATGGCAGCTCAAATTGAAATTAAAACTAGTTAATTGGAAGTCTGAAAAATAGCAAGTTTGAGTGATGCTATTAAGATCGGAAGGAATCCTTTGAATGACATAACCCATATAAAAGGTTTTCGATTAAAATGGAAAAAAATACATTCAAGGAAAAAAGCTGACAATTGTTGTAGGGATTATTTTAGTTCATGTTCGTTATTTATTTTTTACGAACATGAACACAGTGCATTATTATCTGGCTTATAATGCGGCCTTACGGACACATAAGAGTACATTGTGGAAAGAAGTTGCACGTGTAGCAGATGATTGGTATATACAGAAATTAAAACAAAACATATAATGAAAACAGAGAGAGACCGACAGCCATACATACCCTACAGTTCAATCTACACACACATGGCTACACCTGACGAGTGGCACAGAGGAAACTTGTAGTAAGGGAGATAAATCGTTAGACAAAAACCGATTACCATGGTGCCATGAAAATAAAGACTGACAGTGGATAATTTCTGGAACAAAGTAATATTCTTGGACGAGACTAAAATAATGACAGGACACGTTTCCCGTGTGTACGTGTGGCGAAAAAGGGTATAAATCTGGACGCCTGATAAGGTGGCGCCACGACGTATTTAACCATGTTACGACGTCATGATCTGGGGATGCATAACATGGCACGGAGTTGGTACTATCAAGGCAGTAAATGGCAATTTAAAAGCAGAAAGGTATCAGAAAATTCTTGATGACAATCTGTGGCCAGTCTTAGCTCGTCCTTTCATCCCTCGGTATTATATATTTCAGGACTACAATGCACCTGTCCACCGTACACGTTCTACTAAA